GGGAGCTGTGCGGGACCCCCGGGCGCAGCAGCACGGGCCGGGCCCGGGCCCAGGCCGGGCTTTAGCTGAAGCCTACCCAGCTCCAGCTTTCTCTACCAACAACGCAACGAATTACTCCCGATTGATAAAACACTCGTTGCCTTTTGTTGTTATTTTACAGCGCCTTTCTCGAGAAAGTCACCAGGCAGAAGGTTCCCTCAGCAAGGAAAGAAGCACATCACCCCGGGCTTTATTTTCTTTTGCTTTTTTTATTTTTTTTTTCCAGCTCACTGGCTATCACCGCAACCAAAAATACGTAAATCAAGTCTTCGCCGGATTCTTCTGGTAAATGCGAGCCGGTGTTGGCTGGCAGATGTACGGCGGACTTTGAAATCCATCCTTTTCTCCAAGGCAGAGCAGCGCGTGCTCGGCGCTGTCATTCCAGAGTTGGTTATGCACAAGATCACCCGGTGTTACACAGTACCCCCAAAACACAGCGTTCCTCCCCCTTTCCCAGACATGCAAATTATTTACACCTTTTTCTGCAAAAGCAATGGGTTAGTCCATGTGATTTGCCTGTTCCCCTACTCCCAGCTCGGCTTCTACTCTAACTTTGGCCCTACACAGAGTTTCTCCTCCGTGTTCCGACGTCGCCGCTCTGTAACGGCGCCGCTTCTCCCGTGACAGCAGCGACCCCTTCCCCCGCCGTCACAAGCCCCCTGGCTACTGAGAAACAACCCATCGGCCAAGCCTCAGAGAAAAGAGTCCAAAACCCACACCTTCAAAGGAATTTCCAGTTGTCAGGCTGTCCCATTCACACACAGAAAAGCCGGTATCCCGGTAAGCAAAATGAAATACACACAACAGCGGCAACTCGTAAAAGCGGACATAAACTGAGCTACGCAGCTGATGTAGAAACGCCCTGAGCTGACAGTCGAAGAATTTCTTTGGTCTTTGTGACCAAAAAAATCACAAGAACAGATAAGGCAGGAATTACACCACCAGTTTATGCCAGCTGCCACAGTATTTACTGTGAGACAAACTTTTACAATGCAATAACAAGCACAACCACCTACGATCCGTACAGCAGAGACTAACTACTTTCACTTAAACCTAAGAAAGTGGCCTCACCAGTCCTTGAGGACCCTGGATTTATGCGTAAAGTCACCGTTCGCATTATGGTTGACTGGGTATTCGTAAAACACCGCTCTCCATTTCAACTGTTACTCGCACCTTCCTCACACACACAGCCGTCGTGGTGGTGATGCTCTAGAGCTGGGCCTGCCCAGTTCTTCGTGGAAATCTTTCTTCTCGAGGTTTCCGATTCACACGGAAGTATTTGAAGGCATCTTATAAACTCAGCTTTCACCCCAGACAGCGCTGCGGAAAGTAGGAACTGTACCTCAGGTGTCAAAGCATCTCTCAGTGAATCCTGGCCTCTTCCCCGGGGGGGGCGGCGGTAGCCATGCCAGGGGTGGTCAGCGCCAAACCTTCTGCTTAATATTTATTGATGCCGAAGATTCGAACGCCATGCAGCTGTGGCAGCTTGGGGATAAGCACGGTCAGGAGAGAGGCTGTGTTGAGGATGAAGTGTGTTGGATCATACTTGGTGTAGAAACTCACCAGGAAGTACCTGCGGGAGAAAAGGGGGCAAGCTTAGCTGATAACACACCAGTCTAAAACATAAACAAACAAAGCCTTGTTGTAAAAGGTGCTTCAGCCACCAGTCACATTTTACTGATTAACAACCGATCTATTCCTCTATTAAATCTCTCACCTGAGGTTCTAGAATGTCTACAGCAAAACTATGGACTAAGTCTCCTCTTCCCACACTTCTCCAGGTGCTAAAAAGCAACTCCCAGCTAGTATTTTCCTCCAGTGCTTCTCCACGCCCCTCCGGTTGGAGTCTCTGGCTTCTGCAGCTACAAGCCTGACTCACGACAGAGGTTTTCAAAAGTGTGAGATCTGTTACCAAAATACTCGCAGCTCTGCTACCCTGGCAACCTCAGTGACCAAGCATTTCACATTTTTCAGTGCAAAAATCATATACACTGAGCACATCTGCGATCGGTGGGATTTTAAAACGCTTCCCATCCGGCAGACGTTTCCAGCACGTTTTTCTTCTAAGCTGGTCCACGATCTGTTCAACCAGAAGAATAAGGAAACGTGCCTCAGAAAATCTAATTCACTACCAACTTCTTTACACTTTGAGCCAATAATTTAATCTAATTCTTTGCAAAAACTAGTCACAGAAATGAGGCTATCAGATTGTTGAAGTTTTGGTTTTCTCCCAGCAAAAGGCATATGTTTCTTCAGCTGCTTATGCATTATTAGTGCATGAAGAGAACCATACGCAAGTATTACGAATACAAAATTCCCACTGGAAAGTGGGAAGCTATATTTGAAGAAAAAGAGGATTTTTTTTTTTTGAGGAGTTATATACATTTTTTCAGTTTATATCCTTTTTTTCCAGTTTCTATCCTTTGTGCACCAAGTTTGTAAACACGATGCAGGATCTTCCCTTCCTCCCCCATCCTGCCATGCAAGTGGACAACTTCCTTAAGGGAAAAACAGAAATACTTGTTAGAGTTGCATATTAAATATGTATCTGATTTCCTTCAGTTGCACAACCACACTTTTGTCAACAGTGACAGGCGGTGTAGAATTTCCAATCTATTTACATAACTCGTGTAAACAGCAGACCATGGGTACAAAGCCAAACTGACACGCAGAATCACGGTGGCCGTTCACGTGCCACACTCCTCCTAACTCCACAAGTCGCAAAATGGTTAATAAATGCCGTCACGTGCATGCGCCGAAGGCAAGCAGTTCAGGTTTTCAGTATTTACAATTTCACAGACTGTTACAGAACTTCAAGAGTTAACAGTCGGTTTTCCTCACAACCTTTCTGATCTTTAAAAGCTGCCCCATTAATAACTGTTTACAAACTTCGACCTCAGTGTGCGAACTGGAGTGTCGAAAGCTGCAGGAAGGAAGATTGTTCGTATTAAGGCCTGTAAATATGTACTCCCTACCTCCCTGATGTAGAAACAAACAAGCATAAAAAAGAGAGAAAATGCTTTTAGAATGTAAATAGCAACCCATCTTGTTGCAACTTTTGAAATCCTGGTTTTGTGATGCAATTAAGCCATAATACAGTTTTGAACTCACAGAATTATAGGAGAGATTGTGAAGAATTTCCTTGAAGATGTAAATTGTACTCCGTAATCCAGCTGTTCCCAGTGCGTTAGTAGCCTGGCTTTCCCCTGATCAGGTGTTTCAAAAGGAGTTCCCTTCACTGCATGCAAAAACACATACATTCCCTGGAGATAAGCAGACACTTGTGCAGCTACAGCCAACCTTAAAAAAAAAAAAAAAAAAAAAAAAAGAGTAAATGAATTCTCACGCAGAAGAGCTGCTAGCCTGTAAAGACAAATTATGGAAGAGGAAGGAAGAGACAAAAAGTGATTTGCCCGAGGTCAGTGGCACAGTCAGAATGAAAGCCGGTCTATGCGACATCTGACCCACTGCCTTGTCTTCCACATTAGGTGGCAAAAATTGCATGAAATCAACAGAATTTTAACAAGCACTGTCACAAGTTCAGGGCTGCCAATTTATATCACCGCTCTCCAAAGACAGTGTTAAATGAGTAATGAGGTGGAGTCTGCACAAAGCAAAAAAAAAAAGAAATATCTATCTATGAATAGCAGCAATGTTACAAGAACTTTTGAAAGCTTTCTCAGCCCCCCAGCAGCATCAAATACTTCGAAGCTGACTCCCGGCAATCTGCTGGATGCCATCTGTCCACCCCATCGCTGCTTCTCCTCAACCACACCGGCCTGCTCCATGCGATTGTTTCTGTTTGATGGGAGCATGCCATGCCTGCTCTGCTCCAACAAATCAGTTTGGGCCCCAAGATCAATCAGGCAGGGGAGTCCCCCCTCCTCCAGTTTTAACAAACATCTGTTCTCTATCAAAGAGCTCACACCAACTCCAAGCAAGTCTCTATCAGAAAACATCAAAGACTTCCTCTTTCAGGTGCAGTCATTTATGTTTGTTTTTGTTATAGAAAACTTTATATAGAAAAAAAGAGGTGAAAGTTGAGCAAGTCAATTCATGTCTTCTTCCACTTTTTTTTTTGAACAGCCCCCTGACTGGAGGCCTATTCACCTAAGAGAATTAATTTGCTTAATTAATTCTGCAATTCCTGATGTTTGCAGCATCTCAGTTTTAATAGCTGAACTAAAAAGGCACTTTTAGGACAGATCCAAATGCTTCCTACACATTTTATTTTGCACTTGTACTTGCAGAAAGGCCCACCAAAAACGCTTCCAAGGTCAGCTACCAGTTTTCCACTAGTGGAAATCCAAGATTTTTTTTTTGTTTGTCAAACCTTTCAAGGATTTGTTTCAGAAAAAGTGCCAGTTAAATGCTGAAACATCCAAAAGTACAGTTCATACTCCTCTGCTAGTGTTGCACTAGAAAACTACTTGCCAGTGCATGCTCTCATCCCTGTTGTCATTACAGCTACTCACAATGAATTCAGTAAGGCATTTGGGAAATATTTAGTAGTACTTGTCTGTGCCAACATCTTCCAAAGTCAGGCACGTCTGATGCTGTCAAATGTAACGTACAAAAGGTTCTAATCATGCTTACAATTCCACTGTTAGTTTTAAACCTATCCACAAAAATAAAAAACTCAACAAAATAAATACATTTTTTACAGGATTCTAGAGGATATTACCCACTCTCAGTCTTTAAAGTGAACTATCGTTTCCCTAAATAAGGCAGAAGCTATCTTCTTGTCAAGACTTCTTTGCTGTTAATCTTAGAAAGCTGAGTTAGCAAACCTCAAGTATGATGTAAATAGCTGGATTCTGGCCCTCTTTTCTCTAAGCTTGGTAGGACCAATATACATACTCGCCTTACTTTGAATGCTTACAACAAAACTATAGCATCCTGGGGAGGGGAGGCAGAACAACTCGTAAAGTCTTCAGCGTTCAAATCCCTTCGCATACAAAAGTCATCATGCAAACCACAGTCCCTGAATAACAAGTGGTGTCAGGGCTTGGGTCAAGGCAGTCCAGTTTTTCCGACTGCCTTTAAGTAAGATTTTCCTTATGTCATGTAGAGTAACAAAGTTGCATGCTGAAGTCATTCTGAGCCAAAATTTATCTAGCTCGACCAGAAATCAAACCAAGAAGAAAAAGAACACAAACGTTTCTGGCCAAGGAACAGGTAAAGCGCTGAAATCAAACATTTTGGGATACTAACAGGTTTATAGACAAGCATTAGCAGATAATATCCAAGCATTAACAACGTAACATATTTTATGCACTCAGCACAGCTCTCTAATAATGTACATACAAAACACTGTAAAAAGTTGGCTGCATGATGATTTTATGTTTGCAAGATTCTAGCTTAATCCAATGCCTTTTAAAAGAATCCATAATATATGTAAGGAACACTTCAAGTCTTTTGTGCTTAAACCCAAACTGGTTATGCATCACCCCTCCTCCCTAAATGGGCCAACTCATTTACTAGCGGATAAGCCAAGCGGAGGTGGTGTTTCAGCTAGCTGGATTGCACGATCCACACGGCCTGGCTGTCTTCCTCTTCTCCTACTACCGAAAATACATACGTACGAACAGCTTTTCCAATTTTGTGACAAGAGCGGGTACTCACCAGGTTGTGAATCACATTTGTCAAAGTCCAGGCGACAGGGACACTAAAGAAAGGAATGCTGAGCAAGACAATGTGCAGCATGCCAACTCCGAGCGCATACGTCAGCCACATTCCACGACTGTTCATCACCCGCGTGTTTGGATTTACCTCGCTGTGGGCAACTCCTACGTTCATTGTTACCCTGTAAAACAGAACTGTTTGAAGATTGAGACTACTGTTAGAGGGAGGCACTTAACACACGCCATTTTCAAATTTGGGAAGAGGCTGTTTTCAATAAGCAGGTCCGGAAGGAGCACAGCGCACGAGCCAAGATGCACCTCAAGATCTTCAAAGTATGGCTTGGAGAGAAGTCAGTGCAGAGGGGCTGTTAGGAACTGTTTGATTAGAAAAAGCCCAAACAAATAAACCCAACAAGCCTGCTAGCGAAGGGACATTTTAAAAACATAGTAAGCTGTGCTGTTAGATGCTGAAGTTGCAAACCTGTAAGAAACCTGTAAGAAAGCTTTGTCCTCTAAATTCCTTTCTCCATCCATGACAATACCCACAGTTCTTTTCCACTCCCATATTGGACAGCTTTCCTCCTGTTTCTCGTTCACGCAACAGCTAATGAAGAATTCTGCACATAGCCATCGCCAGCTATGGCTAGAAAGAACGACCAAGGACTAGCTTACGCCTGCCTTTCTCACAGCAGCGCACGGATTTCCGATTTTCCTCCTCTCCCCACCTGTCTGGTTCTCCCACAGACGTTTCTGTCTTCAAGTCTGGCTGAAATCGGCCAACGGGTTCCAAAGCTTTCTAACTGCCAGGCACGGGCAGCGACAGACGGACCAGTTTCGCAATTCTGATTTCTGCGGGAGATTGACCTAACTCACCGGGGGTGACGCGCTCAGCCCGCTGCACTAAAATTTGCAACGGTAATTAAAAAAAAAACACCCTCATTGCAATGCTGCATATTCATGTGATCTGTAAGACTATCTATATTCACAGATATGAAGATACATATAGAGATATATTTTTATATATATTCTGCTGATATTCATGGATATGAAGATTATATATA